CAGCCTCCCCAGGATCCTGTCCACATCCTCGGGAGCCACAGAGTCAAACTCCTCCCATATAATCGTCTCAAGACCTGCTCTCTCCACCTCCCCCTGGGGCACCCAGTCGGAGTCCAACCCCTCCCGGATCCGAGCGACTTTATCATTCAGATATTGTGCAAAGTCCTCAGCCCTCCCCACCAGGGGGTCCCCCCCCTCAATTGAAGGAGGGAGCGGGTCACCCTGAAGAGGGTGGCCGGGCGATTATCTGATGACGCAATGAGGGTGGAGTAGTAGTTAGACCTCGCCACCCTCATTGCCACAAGGTAGGATCTAACATGTGTCCTTACCTGTGTTCGGTCGGGTTCGGTGGACTTCAACTCCCAGAATTCCACAGCCAGCATTGCTAGATAGTGGACTAGATAGTGTTTTCATCTGGTGATCATCTGAACTGTATTTTACAGTAAAGTTAGGTAAATGTGCATTTCCTTTTTATTGCTTTGGGGGGATTTTTAAATACCATGGACCAACAGAAAGACAAATGTACTTCAAAGTGAGCCAAAAATGAATGAAACATTCAGGATCAAGTTTTAAGGATGGAAAACACATTCATCTGGACCTTTTTGAACATAGATTATTTTTCCAAAGTGGAATGAGGAAAATGATGAAGATGGAGTGTTTGTATTTCGTTGGGTAAATGTAATGTCAATTTTAATAATCACTCCAAAACCTCAGAAATTCCATGAGAAGGAAATGCATCTGACCAGCCAATGGCTAGAGCAACAGATTTGTGTGTCAGAAAGATAGTTTTTCTTAGGAACTGGTGTGTCTTAAGCACCACAGGATCTGCCCAAGTAGTGAATATATTACAATGTCTTTGTAAACACAGCTGCACCAGGAACAGGATAAGACACCAGCATTCTTCATTTTCTGTTTACCTCATAGGATGACAAAGAGCCAAACACTACTGTTGCAGTTGGCGCATGGTGCCAGCTGCTCCCTAATCATGCAGATCTCTGAGGACCTACTGAATAACCACCACCCTTTTAACATACAGGAATAACAAATGACCTAATGGTTCCTTTGAGACAATATGACTGCAGATAATTAGTGCTTTTCTATTGGCTAATCTAGGGGTAAAAATTCTTTGCTTCTCAATTAAAGCAAGTCTTGTGCTTAAATAATTATCTACCTAGTACTGTTCCCAAGGCTGAAAAGGTCCCATCACTGAATAACACTAGAATGAAAGAAATTGAGTCAGAAGTCAAGGCATCTTTCAAATGAAAAGTAAATTCCATCACTATGTAAGAGGTCAGAAAGATTATTTCTCAATCCCAGGTTAATCTAAATCTGGGGGAGGTTAATCTAAATTCAACACATTTGTGTAATGCTAGGCAGGGGGAGGAAACAGAAAATGAGCAACTTTGCCTCCACTCCCATTTAATCTTGTATATTCAACTTTGAATATAGTTTTTTGAATCTTGTATATTCAACTTGGCTAACCAGAAGTAGATAAAAATCCCATTTCAGCACTCTGATAATAAGGGAGAAAAATAAGTCCTCTGTCTCCCATATTGTGGTTCTGACTGATTCAGGCTGGGTCCTCAGAGGAGCTGGATGTCAATGTTCGGACTAATGGAACACTTCAAGGAAATTCCAGGCATATTTATTCTGAAAAAGTCTGTAATCATGGACACATTATCGGCACATATTGAATGGATGCCAGAATCTGAATTTCTCTTGCTTGCGTCTAACTTTTCTTGCTAAACCCCTCCCTTATTTTGCAGTTATAAGTCACATCTTCCCGGGCTTTCCTTATAAATCTTCTCCCTTTCTCTGTCATCTGAATTAACTCTAAAAATACCAGACAGTTCTGTATATCTTGTCAAAGCAATAATATCCCATATTAACAGCATTGACACTGAATATCTGTCATGCTGCGGATGATGCTGGCTGGAAAATTCTTTGCCCTCAATACAATATTGCAACAGGATATAAGCAGAAAAATATTTTTAAACCCCCCTGTCCTGTCCCTTCCTATTCCCACTCCAAAAATGGGAGAAATGAAGCAAGAGAATTTTATAACTAATACAGAATCATGATGCATTTAATTAAGTCTTATACATTTTATTAAATTTAGTACAAAAAGATGATAAAATCTGATAGTCGTGAAAACAAGAAGGTTTGATACGTTTCTCATTTCCACATCCTATCCCTTCCCCAAAGTTTTTCATAATCTCTACTTGATACTGAAATCTAATCATTCTTTGAAATATCAAAAATCTTTCAATTGCCATTTCTCAGCCCTACCCTACATGTGCCCATATTGCACTTGTTCTCAGCATTGCAAATGTGCAGGCACTCATGAAAGAATACAGAATAAAAATTAATGCCTGCTTAATTAAATCATTATTGTAACCACATATGAATTTCTATTGCATTATTAATTTTTTAAACGCAGAATTTTGGGAACTCTGATATTTCCTCCTGAGAAATAGTATGGAGATCAAATAAAATTTGGCTACTTGTCTGCTCTGTCAGTTCTGCAGAAATGTTCAAGAATGCAGAGTTCACCCAATCACGTTTAAGACAGCACTATTCTCAATGTTCGTATCTCCATTGTGGCTCCACTTGCTGCTGGATGTAACTGTCTTGTAAGCAGTTATCTGCAAAGAAGATAACAAGATGAAGAGTCAAGGAGGCACACAGAAATGAGAAGGCAATCCGCTAGCTATCCTTGCACTCACCAAGCAGCTTTTCTGAACATTTAAAGGGGGTACGCTCAGTGGTGGGATTCAGCCGGTTCGCACCATTTCGGCAGAACCGGTAGCTAATTTTTTGTTGCCCAGGCCCAGAATGGACTTCCGAAAGTGGCATCCACACAGAGAACCAGTTGTTCACATATTTGAATCCCACCACCGGGTGCGCTTAACTCTTATTCTCCAAGATGCATAAAGCTGCTATGTAGAACAGTTAAGA